TATATACATATATATATATATTAAAATATAAATACTTTGATTATTTTTAAATTGTTGTTCAATTTTAATAAATTTTGACATAATCATGTAATATGATATGAAGTTATAATTCAACAGTTTGATTAAAAAAATTCACATCTAATTTTAAGTTATTGCGCGGTGTAATAATTAATTAAAGTTACACTATTTTCATTTGACCCCTTTACATATATGAAGAAAGATCAAATAACATCGGTACAACTTTTATTAACCATTACATTGTTCAATAACTTAAAATGATTGTTTTTCAACACTTTATATTGAAAGTATCCTTACCTCTGAATTATGTATACAAAATTTTATATTAATAGAAGATGATTTGATATATCATTCATGTAGATCAAAATTAACATAATATATATATTTTAAAATAATATACTAAAATAAAAATACTTTATTTACTTTTATATTATTGTTCAATTTAATAAAATTTGACATAATAATATAAGTTAATATAAAATTATAATTTAATGATTGAATAATTATCTTATATATGTGTATGTACTACATTCTTGGCATGACTTCATATGTTTGTAAAAACAAAACAAATTCTTAAAATCTTCTTCCTCCTCTTTATAATTCTCTTTTGGTTACATATCAAACTACACTAAAGAGTGACTTTCTCTCACTTTCCTCCTATGTTGCTTTCTTTCTTTTAAATTAAACAGTGTTAAGTAAGGTTTAGGTAGTAGGTTCAAATATTGTAGATGAAAAAATTAGTTAAAAAAGAAGACATAAAGAGTAATCAGTCAAATTTGTTATTAATAAATACTTCATTCTAAATAACATGGTTATTAAATAGACAAACAAAATGTTTTTGTCTGTTTGTCAATTGTTAATGCTAAAGAGATTTGTCTTTACTTGTTTATGTCTGTTTGTCATAATATATATATACCAGTATTTATGTGCATTAACTGGAAAGTAAAAACCGCAACAACAAAAAATGTAAAACAAATGCTAGCTAGCTTCGAACTTCACACAATGAGATACTATCAAATATGCATGCACTTCATTTATTATCTATAATCAATCTTACAATCGTGCTCAAAGCACCCACGTCAACTTTTGTCAATGGTTACATACAGACAGAGACAAAGAAGTCAACTCAAAACTGACGACCAACAAAACTCTGTCCAAATTTCCAATTCGCAGGTACAACATTGAAATTGGTCAATGATCGACCATCACTAGTCGTGACTACAAAGGAGAGGCTCTGGCCAACGAAATATGTGTTGCTTTGCCAATTCTGACCCCAGTTTCTTGACATTGGTTGCCACCCAGTTGATGAACCTTTTATTGACACTGCTTTCACATCTCCTGCACCTCCCACATTCGCTACCAACACCATGTTGAAGTATGGATTGCCATTCATGGTGAACCTTATCCCTCCCCTCCTCACACACGTCACCCTCCAACAAACAACTAACCATGTTAGAACAAAAATATTTTGTTCATATTCATTAACTACATGTCTCGAAACTAAACTCCAAGAATAGTTGCATCAATTTTGCCAAAAAATGTGGAAGCTGTAAATGCTAGTTTCCAGTAATAATTAAATGTAGAAAATGCCACGCCAAGGTCGACTTGTGATGAGATTGAGATAGTATCCACCAAATTATAAGTTATAACATCATGGTCGCCATTGCACACAAAAAACATAGACTTTCATTGTATAAAACAATTTTATACTGATGTACATTAAATAAAACATACATATTTGTTAACTTTTATGATAATTAACTTAAAAATGACACTAACATGACCATTAAATAAAAAGTATATATAATATATTAAATCAAACAATTAATTCCTTGAAGCCTTCGTGAAAATGATGATTGATTACCTTCTGTAGAGCACAGGAACAACTCCAGATCTGTATAGAGCAATTTTGGTGAAAGCTGGCTGTGATAGATCAAAATGTTGAAGTGGGGGGTTGCACCAGCCAGGGCCGTTGGATAAGGAGTCATTTGGGGGACAAAAGTTTGTTGCAGTGACGGTGATAGGGGCTGCTCCAGGGATGCACCACTTAGGGTCATTGTGGCAAACTATTTGGAAACATGCACCACAAATGAAACCATTGTTGAAAAGTGCAGTGCTTAATGCTGTTGTGAGCACTCCATAGTCTTGGAAAACCGAGTTTCCGTATCCGCATGCTCCTCCTAATATTTTCACGTGCATGGAAAAATGTTAGAAGCATTTTCACGTGCATGGAAAAATGTTAGAAGCAAACACACAAAAGGATTAATTTCAAACATTTTCACGAATGCTCGTCACATAGTCAATGGAATATTGGTTTAATTAACAAAAATAGAATTTAAGGCAGTGTTATTTGACTTATTTTTTTAAAAACAATTATCTTTCTTTAAAAAGAATTTAAGTCAAACAAACATTGTAATAAAAACAACACTTATTTTGAAAATCTTTAAAAAAATTCAACAACTTGTTTTTCATAAAAGAAAAGCAAAACAAGTATTTATATATATATATATGAGAAATAATGTTAAATTGCACCTTTTTTCCTTCTATTTTCATTAATTTATAATTTTAGTCTTTTTTATTTTAAAATAGAAATATTTAGTCTCTCTAATCTTAACAATATGAAATTTTGACCTTCTAATCAAATTGTCATATATTAATTGTTAAGTTTTAACGTTTACTCATATTTAAGTGATCTGATATTTAGTAATGTAATATTTATAAATAAAAATTATAAAAATATGTAAATAATATTTTTATTAATTAATAAAATAAATATCAATCACTTGTAAAAAATATATACAAAAAAATTTTCATGATATTTTTTAATTTTTATTCTTATATGTCCATCACTCAAAAATTCACGATGAACAAACATCAAATTAATGATACAACCAAAATTTCATATTTTTAAAATAAAATGATTAAATATCTTTATTTTAAATAAAAAGACCGAATTCATAAACAAATAAAAATAAAGTAATTATACCAAAAATACAATTTAGCCTTAAAAAAAAAAGTTAGGTGAAGTATAATTTTTTTTTAGAGAAAAAAAGGTTGAAAATCGAATATGTACATATGTTTGTTAAAACTTGTGCTTTGAGTGGTAATATGTTAGGAAATTAGGTTTTGAAGTCATGGAAAGTGAGAATTGAATTACCTAATGTCCCAGAAGCGTCTTGGCCACCATAGAATGTGGCACGTGCAGCCCCCCAGCCACCAACACCAGCTTCTTGGCCATAGCTGCCACTAGGAAGCCAAACAAGTAGCAAGACCAAAAATATCACCATTTTTGATAGTGTTCACAAAAACTTGCAAAAGTTAGGAACAAGGATCACTACTATTTGAGTAAGTTGAAGTAGGAAGGAATAGGGGAAGAAAAAGGCTTTATATAGAAGAATATTAATTATGAGTGTGTTTTTGTATCAAAATAAGTTTACTATGAAATTGTTTTAAGAGTTTATAACTTATTTTTTAAGTTAATCAAAATAGTTTATAATTTATAATTTGTTAATTTTCTTCTATTTTTTTTATCTTTATTAATTTATTTGAAAATTATTTTTACTTTTTAATTTTAGAAGTTTTTGTTTATCATACTATTTTTCCATTATTATTATCAAATAAATAAATATGTATTTTACATTAATCAACTAGTTTATTAATTAACAATTTTTTATCAAATATTTTTTTTTTAATTAATTAATTTATAAACTTCAATATCTTTAAATCCTAACCTATAACTTATAAGTTTTTAGTTAGTTTATAAATAGTTAAAATATTTTTTAGTTCATATAATTTGACTTATTTTACCTTTTAATCCTTATAATTTAAAATAGACATTTTAGTTTCTATATTTATTTCTTTCAATCTTTTTTGGTTCATATAGTTTAAGATATATTTTTTACCTTATATTTATAGTACTTTAATTTTTTTAGTCCTTGTCATTTTTTTTCTTTTCTTATAACATTGTCTATTTTATGTTGACGTAATGATATGATAGAAATATTAATTCAACATCATACATCAACTTTGTGTATCTTATGTTGAATTTATTTTATTAGAATTAACTTAAATTATTAGATTCATCAATGTTTCATTCATCTTTTCTACCCTCATTTAAAACACTCATTGTTAAAACATTTTTGTTTTTTATACCTTCACAAAATTAAACACATGTACCAAATAAGTACAAAAAAGATAGTATTACAAAAAATTTATGATAATAACTTAAAAATTAAAAAATAAATAAATATAAGAATTAAAGAGGTATATCTTAAATTATATAGAGACTAAAAAATGAATAATGATAAATATAAAAATTATAAATAAATAAAAAGAAGTGAAATTATATAAATAAATAAAATAACTTTCATAAATTAATCTTACAAAAACATACATTACATAGCAGGATGTACAATATAATAGAAAATGAGGGAAAG